AACGTGCGGGGCACCCGTAGCATTTGGAGCTAGTTCTGCGACTAAAATCATCCGGCACTTTGTGCGATCCCGACCCTGACGGCCTGTTATGATACCACTCGGGAGTTTGCGCGTCTCTCCGTTTCTTCCCCGTGCTTGCGTGGATTTTTCTCCAGGTCCTCCGTGGTTTTTGTTGTTGTTGTTGTTGCCTCCGCACAAACAAAAACAAGGAGTCAACGTCGCGCGTTTCAAGAGTGCCTGCCCGATGGGAAATGCCCCACGCAATAAGCCACCTCTCGCTGAGCCGCTGCCATTCGCGATAGCCGGGTTCTGAAAAAAAAATAGCCACACGGCTCGGCGATCCTTACCTGGTTAAATTAAAGAAAAAATATATATTTAAATAGTAACCCCCACCCCACCCAACCCCACCCCACCCCACCCCTCACAGCACATACTTCCACCAGCGTGTTCAGTTAAGTCCATCGGAGTCAGCGGAGCCCCCACGAGGTTGAGTTCTTTATTGGCGTCTCCTCAACACGAACACAAAGCGAGCTGCACTGCCAAGCTTACGCAACGATCACAGCGGGGGCACTGTGATTGGCCACCGATGCCCGCTACAGGGGCAGCACGAAGGAGATTCACTGCGATTGGCTGCTTGCGACTCCATAAGCAGTATAAGCGATGAATGCGATTGGCTACTTGTGCCTCTACAGGCTGCGTGCGATTGGCTACTGATGCCTCTATATGCAGCATACGAGATGCCTGTGATTGGCTACCGGTGCTTCTGCAGACAGCGTATGCGATGCGTGCGATTGGCTACTGATGCCTCTATAGGCAGCCTGCGATTGGCTACTGATGCCTCTATAAGCAGCGTATGCGATGCCTGCGATTGGCTACTGGTGCCTCTATGGACAGCGTCTGCGATGCGTGTGATTGGCTACTGATGCCTCTATAGGCAGTATAAGAGGTTTAACGTCATCGGCTACCAATGCCTCTATAGGCAAATGCCTGTGCAGAGTTTGAGAAGCAAAGAATCATCAATAATGACGTCAACTTGTAACGATTCAGTTTATCTTGTAGGCTTATCGCGACCAATATCATCCATAATGGAGGAGGGGGTGGGTGTGGGGGGGGGGGTGTTTGGGTAAGATCGCGTAAATATCGATGCGTCGTTAAACCCGCCACCGCCCTACGTAAGCCAATTAGTAAGGGTTGTCGCGTAAACAAAACATAATTTGCCGCTAGTTCACCACTGGACCGGTTGTGCGTTGGAGAGTAAAAACCCGCGACAACATTTACGATTCAAGCACCGTGACGTTTCGCCCGGTAACGACAACAAACCAGCGTCATCGGGCGACAGTCCAGAGTTGTGGCGAAATCCACAACCAATTGCATCCAGCGTCATCACGCTTACTCTCCAACACGCAACCAATTAGCGCTTAACTGGCAACGAATTGGCCGCCTTCTGTTTACGTGACGAACCCCTTTACCGGCTGGCCATGGCGGGTTTCATCGACGCGACATTTATATTTGCTTGATCCGACACCAACAAAAAAAACAAACAAACAACCCTCTATTATATTTCGATTTAAAGCTTTCGTGACTGCAATGATTCATCTTCTTTGGTTCTTTCGGTAAAGTCACGTAGAATGATAATAAAATAATAAATTGATAAAATAAAATAACACAATAATATTCTGTAGGCGCGAGGAGGAACCGTGAGAATATTATTGTGTTATTTTATTATATCAATTTATTATTTTATTATCATTCTACGTGACTTTACCGAAAGAACCAAAGAAGAACCCTCTATTATTGTAACGCTTCAGCCGCCACCGCCACTGCCGCACGTGATTCGCTCGCTCAGGAACAGAGAGACGGAGAGACGGAGGGAGGGAGGGGAGAGACGACTCTGTAGGCGCGAGGAGGAACCGCAGACGAGCGGCGAGGAGGAGGCGGCGCCAACAATTTGTCCAAGCTCGGCGACCCTCGGTATATTCCGGTGTTTTTCGGCCGATTGACGAGCGTTGATTTACGCGCAGTGCGTGCGGTTAGGAAGCCGGGGCGCCCGGAGCAAAAGCCACGGTTATGTGCGAAGGGGAAACGCTCTATCCTCCCCCCCCCCCCCCACACTCACGGAGGGAACGGGTGGAGTCCACGTTTTTTGTCGTTGCCGCCTTCTACCTGGCAGAGCCGGGGGTGGCGGGGGGGGGGGTACAGTTCCTCCTCCAGACCCACCCACGGGTATAGAACGCGTTGCCGGACGCGTTGCCGAACGCGTCGGCCACGCTCGTCTCGCCGAGCGGCAACTTTGTTCACCGTTTCCCGTTCCAATGACGTCCTCGTGTGCACACAAAGATAAAGGCCCCCCCCCCCCGTGTAGCCTTAACAGACTGTAGGGGCAAGTGCTGTTCGCGAGCAGCAGCTATGAAGGCCGGTAACGGCACACGAGGGGGGTTGGTGGCCAGCACCACGCCCGGCCGCCTTTGTCTCCCCAGTGGCGATGTTTACTACGCATCGCACCAGGTACTCATTTGAGGCCGAGTCGACCTAGGGGAGGCCCGGGACCGGTTAAAATAATCGTCACTGGTGTTGGCCGTGAGCGGGAATCGAACCCGGGTCGCCGGGTTCATCGCGCAAAGCGCTTACCGCTACGCCACCGCTCCACCTTACACACACATCCACACATCCACACACCCACCCATACCCCACCTTGCGACCTGCCGGACGTCATCGGAACGTGAAAAGGGATTATAATTGGCTGTGTCGGGCGGTGGAGGGGTTTACGACACAACGCTTTACTCGCGCGGCGATCGATGTTACGATTACAATTATTACGAATCGCAATATCGCCCGTAAAAAAGCCTACTTACTGCCGCTACTACTAAGTGTTAAATGTCAGCTCGTAATTACGTGTGTGTGTGTACAGCGATCGTAGCTATTTGTGGTTTTATAACATTCCGGATAATGCGTTCCACACGAGCTCGAAGCGACCAAATGTTCCTTTCCTTGGAACTCACCCCAGAGAGGGCTCACAGGAGATTGGATAAGTCTTACCCACTTCGAGTTAGTTACGATTGCCTTCAGCGTTTAAAACGAGGGGGGGGGGCTATCAATTACTTAAAAACTCGCCGCCGCGTGCCCAAACAGACACGCGAGACGTATATATGTACAAAGACAAAGATCCCCCGTATAGCCTTAACACCGAATCTCGACTTAAAGCCTTAACACTGTTGGGGCAAGTGCTGTTAGCGAGCAGCACCTATGAAGGACGGAGCGGTACACGAGGGGGTGGGCGGCGTGGCCCACGCAGGGCCGCCTTTACTGCACTACACCGCTACGCCAGGTAACTCATTTGAGGCCGAGTCGACCTAGGGGAGGTCCAGGACCGGTTCGGATAATCGTCGCCATTGGTGTTGGCCTGCGGGCGGGGAATCGAAGTCGTGACGCTGGGATCGTGTCGTGGCGTGGCGCTAACCGCTACACCACGCCCGCTCCCCAGCAGATACACACACGCACACACACACACGTACGCACACACACACGCACACGCACACACACGCACACACACACGCACACACACACACACACGCACGCACACGCACGCACATGCGCACACACACGCGCGCACACGCGCACATACACACACACACACGTACACACGTAGACACGTAGACACACGTACACACACACGCACACGCATACACACGCACGCACACGCACGCACACACACACGCACACACGCACGTGACGCCAGTATGCAACCGCTGGCGCACTAAAACGAATGTCGTACGCAAGGTTACCATCGATGGGTCTCCTAACACGGCCTGCTAGCGGTAAGAAATTCACGATAAAATCGTCGGTTTAACACAGACACGGGCAAAGCACGGCCCGTTGGGCGTTTTAATCCGGCCCGCCGAACTTGTCCAAATAATAATAATAATAATATTATGATATTATTATTAAATTAAATTTTACCTTTCTCCTGCAATGCCCCCATTTCCCCATTAGATGGCGCACTTTGACCGGGAGTGTGGTGTATAGGCCCTATGTTCGTGCAATTTGTTACAATTGCCTTGCAACTAAACGCTTTGCTTCTAGATTTGAAGCTTTTGTGACTGCAAGGATCCATACTCTTTGGTTCTATTCGGTTGTTTTACTTTTTACCTACGTGACTTTACTGAATAGAACCAAAGAGTATAAACGCCTTGCTACCTGTTAAAGGCCAAAATCCCTTCATGTAATAAATTTTGACACGTCATCTACATTAAGTTCATACAAACGCTCCATCCATCCAGTTCCTGGCCCGGCCCCTCCTGTCAAATTTTAGAACCCATTGTGGCCCGCGAGTCAAAAAAGTTTGCCCACCCCTGCGGTTAGCTCGTGGAAGAGGCAGATGAAGAGGAAGATGAAGAGGAAGAAGAAGGGAGAATCCTCCTCCGCGTTGCACCGCGCTCCACGTTTGCCTGCCTGGATGAGCCGGAGAACAGGGGACAGCTCGCTCCAGCGACAGCGATGATTTGACGCCTCTCGTAAATCCACCGCAGGACGGAAGACCCCCCCCCCACCCCCCCCTTTGTCCTTCCCAAGTCGCAGGCCCCCCCCCTCTCCCGCCCCCCCTGCCCCCCGCCCCCCCCTGCCCCCCGCCCCCCTGCCCCCCGCCCACATTTGTTGTGGAGGTGGACTTGGCAGGACGAAGCGTGCCGTGGCGAGTCGTCAACCGCCTGCATAGAAGGCGGGCGGGCGGCACGACGGCCATCTCCTTCGCGAGCGGTTTGGTCGCTGAAGACTTCGCCCGGCGGCTGGTCGCATCGCCGCCGGTGCCGCCGGACCGCTGGACACCACCGCCGCCGGTGCCGCCCCCGCGACCTCTCGACGCGCGGGTAAAACGTTTCCCGTTCGAGCCGCCCCACCCCCCGGGGCCTTCCGCTCGCCCGGCCCTCCGCCCGCCGTACGCAAAGAGAAGACGCCCGCCCCTACGCCCCCGCGCTCCCCCCCCCCCCTCCCGACCTCCGCCCGCC